AGAGCCAGCAAGTCAGCAGCACCGGGAAAAACAGTCGAAAAATGAAATTCAACCAGGAACTAAAAAATTGGCTCGAAGGCTGGCAACCAGCAAAGGAAAGATTACCCGAAAATCGTGAACATTACCCGAGTCGCCTATGGCCCGACACATTAAGGACAAGTACAACACAGTCAAAACAAACACAGAGACAGGGCATCGCACCAAAGAACAAAGGAAAACAGGTATAAAAGAAACAGAACCACAATACGGAGGCAGACACTCGTCACACTACCATGGACGTGGAGAAAGCAATAGAAGAACTGCTTACGACCTGGGACGAAACAGAGGCCCAGGCACTATGGGACTCGCTAACCAGAGCCGACAATGCAGAAGCGCAAGATCGAGCGACAAGGATAAAATTACCACCGGGGAAAAAAACCACCAGTAGACAAACCGCGGAGAAAACCAGCCATAGCCTGCACCAAGATACCACCGACAGCCAGGAAAGCCGAGGAGAAACTTCGAGCGCTTATGAACCTGAAACAAGAACCAGTCCGAAAGCACAGACCAAGGGTGAGACCTCTGACATGGGGAACAAACCAACATCTAACGTCAACACCTGGAAGCACCACAACGCGAGCAGGTCTACCATCGCCGACAGCAGCCAAGGCGGAGGGGCAACCAAACCTACCCAGAGTACGACCGGCGATAAGAATTCGGACAGACGAACCGGTAAAAACCAAGATTATACTAAAAACCCGCGAATCGCAACCGGCACCAATCCGCGTCCAGATCTCCAGGGGGCGTACCGTCGACGTGCCGTACTATGCGGCACACATGAGCCGCAAGTACCGACGGTACGTCGACGGAGAATTGTGGAGGTTCAAATTTTCGGAAACAGCCGAGCTTAAACTCGCATACAAAGTTAGATAGGTTAAATAATACAAACCATAGGGAATAAGATCGTTATTAGGAATAAGTTTAGTTAAAGTTTAAATAAAATAACATTGGTGACGGGTAAAATAGTAATAAATAGAGTAAGTAGAGTTATTGGTCGTTATAGTAGTATTAGTTAGATTTAAGTTGCGAGTGCCCGGGACAGGCACTACAAAG